GCCAGGTTTTCTGCAGATTGATGCTGCACTTCACCCATTCAATCCCAAAATTCATTCCATCAGTAATAACAATGGAATGAATTTTGGGATTGAATGGGTGAAGTGCAGCATCAATCTGCAGAAAACCTGGCAATTCACGTAAGCAATGTTCATGAACATCAGTCTAAATAAATTTTTCAGAAGAAGAGAGAAGAAATAGGGGTGAAGCTTTTTGACTGAAATTAGGGATAAATCTAGAGTAGTACTGTAGGGCTCCAATCAATGATCTGAGTGCGTGTATGTTCGGCGGTGATTTGGCTTTTGTTAGAGGAAATAGACGGTTTGGGTCAGGTTTGTAACCTTAACCATCAACTAAGTACCCAGGGTATTCAAAATGAGAGACAGAAAATAAACACTTCCTGCTGTCCTTGTTACTTATAATGACAGTCACTTCTCCGCGAAAAATGTTCCAGAATGGTTGCATAGCATTGGCTGCAAACATTTGTTCACTGTTCTTAGACATCCCTGCTCTAATGGACAAACAGATAATTTTGTTTGCACACTTAAAAGTGCTATTACTGCTTTGAATCCATCCACATTTTCTGAACTTGAAAGAGATATTGATCTGGTTCTTTTACAATATCGTAATTTTGTTCATTCCTACACTAAAGAAACACCTGCTAAACTTTCAGAAGGCCGAAATCTGAAATCCAATTTATTGTGTATTAATACTCTGAAGTTGTATTTTTCCGTGGCAATGACCTGAGGTCCTCTTCAGAAATTGTCCTTAAGTCTTTAGGTCGAAGAATGCTTCAACTACTTGATAACGATAATTTTTCTATACACAGAATACATGTGGACCAAATTCGCTTCGATAATCTAAGTCAATCAGTTCCATTTTATGATGAAAATTCCGAGTCTAATAAAGTTTCTTTAGATACTGAGCAACTTGATACTACTGATGANACTAAGTACCCAGGGCATTCAAAATGAGAGACAGAAAATAAACACTTCTTAGGATTAACAACAAAATTCTTATTAGAAAACCTACGAAAGAGTTCAACCAATCGTGCCTCATGAGTGGACTTGTCAGGAGCATGAACAATACTGTCATCTTGATATACTTCAACGCCAGACACCGCTAGTAATGTCATTCATAACTTGTTGGACTATGACAGGGGAAATGGATAAACCAAACGGCAAAAACTTGTATCTGTATGAACCAAAGGGGTATTAGTAGTTGTCAAGGTGGAGGAGATTTCGTCCAACGGAATTTGTAAACGAGCATCTTTCAAGTCAATCTTGGAAAAGACCTTAGAACCAGTCAGCTTATTCAGAATGTCCTCTGGTTCAACTGTTGTATATGTCTGCTTCAACAGTCTTGGATTTAAGGCGATAGGCGGTAGTTGCCATATATTCTGGGGGTCTTGCCATCCAACTTTAGCGGTGGGACGATTGGTGTACCCCGTGTTGAAGACGCCACCTTCTCTATAACACCTTTGGAACACAAGTTGTTCAATGCATTCATAACAGGTTCACGAAGGCCATATGGAATAACTCGGCGTTTGAGAAAGACTGGATTGCCATTAACTGGTAGTTTCACTGGGGGGATTTTCATTCCACCACTGACTTTTGAGAATTTAGTAATCAAAGCTTTCAGTTCATTTTCAGTATCGATAGAGGTTAACAAGGAAAGATTGACATTTTATGCAAGCATAAAATGTCAAGCCTAGTATGGAGGGGTCAGACTTAGTGACGATGAATGTGCAGGTAGCACTTTTAGAATGTTCTTTACTGACTGAGATCTCACAAAAACCAGCAACAGGTAATGATTGTCCAGTGATGCTATTTATGGTGACAGTGGACGACTGGAGGTTAGCATCTGCAGCAAACCGTTTTAAACCGTGAACAGAAATTAGAGATTCCACACTACCAGTGTCCAAAAGGAAATGAAGTGAGTTACCAGTAGAATTGAATATTTTTTACGAATGTGACTGAAATGGGAGGCAATTGCCAAAGACAAAGAAGATAAATGTTTGTCTATGTCACTCACTTTTGAGTCCGTGGTTTGAATTAGGCGACGAGTTTCGGTACTGCGATAGACTGGCCAGTTTTGCCACACTTGTGACATGAAGCATAACGAAATCGACATGTGAATCTGGAATGACGTTTGCCACAGGATGCACAATTGCTATAGGATTTATCCGAATATGTCACATTGTGTGAGCTAGATTGTGTAGCTGTTTTGAGATGTTCGGCTGTTGCATGAACTTCCGTGGATTTAGTTTTGAGTGAATTGAACATAGCTGTAGATTCGATGGTCGACGGCATGGGTGAAGTAGCTGGCGAATGTCCTGATATTGTTCGCAATGGGCCGGCACATCGTTGAACGTTGGATTGGATAGCTTTAGAAGTTCATTTTGCAAAACAGTATTGTTAATGCCAGAGATCAGCCGATCTCTCAATTGCATGTCCAATAAGTTTCCAAAATCACACTTTACAGCTTGAATGAGGAAATCATAGATGAATTTCCGGATGCCCTGATTCGGATTGCGTACCATTGAGGCTTCAAAGTTCGTTGACTTCACATGTAGGAAAAGGGATTTTAAATCCTCGTACGGCAACGAAACAGGTGGAGAGGGATAATCCAAGTTTTTGATGAGTATGTGAGCATTTTTCCTGGCAGCATTCAAAAAGAAAGCGGATTTCTTTCCCTCGTCGGGCTTTGAACGAGTCAACCACCAAATCTCAAAACGTTCAAAATAATCCTCGATATCGCGTGCACTGCAGTTGAGATCTAGGAATTCTAGTGGAGTAGAATTCATGGTTCAGTAGACCGGCCGCGACGCCAAATGTACTATTGAAAAAAGTATTCGAAATGGAGCTCCAGAATTCGCGCAGTATCAATCCCCGAAATAGAACAACTTCGAGTCGAATAGCACACGTACTTTATTTGAATCGTATGATATGCATATTCGATACATTTAAAGTGCATAAGGAGTTTTTCGAGGTCAGTGTCACAAATCACAGCACTTGTAGCTTACACGAACCCCGTCCTGCTCTTCGCGGATTTGTCTCTTTAGAAATGGTCTTATTGCGCTTAATAAAACGGGTGCTAACAGCTTCAGCGCTTTTAGAATCGGATTTGTAACCCTGTGGTTAGAAAAGCCCTTGCGGCAGCCCTTCTCGTAAATGAATGTAACAACTGGTTCTCCTCATGTAGGGGGTACAGTTTTGTCTTCCCATATCTTTGAGAGCAGTCTGATAAGCTCTCTCAGAAGAGTTTCTCTCCTACCTTTGAAGAGGACCGGCTGCAGGTTGTCTGATCCAGACACCCTGTAGTGTTTCGGGGCTTGGAGTTCCGCTTCTGTGAGAGGTTCCGTGGATAGCGACCAGGGTGCACACTCAGCAGAACTACGTGGGGTGACCAGCGCAGGATGCTAGGTAAACTGCGATTTTAAGTGGTTGTAGCGCATTGGTTTAGTCGCTGTCCCCGGCCTCCTTTGGTCCGAAGTTCGAGCCCCGCTACCCAACTTTGCTGGTAGGCAGCTCTGCTGCCGGGTGTTTCCACACCTTGCAGAATGCATGGTATTTTTGATAGGCGACCTTTGTTATTTGGTGGGGTTGAATTCTTGTCTTTCAGCTAGTGCTTGGAAAGATGGTTAGGCATGCTGTCTAAGACAGTTTATCGCCTTCTAATCGTTGCTGTGCAGTACGTGTCGAATGTCCACCGAAGCACATGCACAGCTTAGCGCAAACATTCGTGATCGGATTCAAGGAGAGGGCTCTAGTACGATCGCCAATCTTGTATGCATCCTCATCGTTTGTGGCTTATAGAGATGTGGTCGTTTGTCGCTTACCCGAGGATAGCGGAGTCAAAGTGTGGAGCGAAACTGTCAGATTGCCTCTCAGCTCAACCATCAGCCGAAAGAGTCAGTGAACACTGCACGACAATCAAGAAAGCGATCTAAATGTCAATCAAGACAACACAATCAGATACAAAACGATGGATCTCCCCGACCTTAGTTGCCTTGCTGGACGCTTGCAAAGCCATTCCTTCGGATTCAAAATACGACAAAGCGTGCAAATCCCTTAAATGCAAGCTTATCAAGAGTATGAGGAATGACCACGAGAAGTAGTGGGTAGAAAAGTGCAGATAGATGGAGAAGGCTGCGACTATCGGTAATGGTCGCAATCTTTTCCGTTTAATTAGGAGTACGGGTCCAAGGAGAGTAGGCATGAGTGAGATAATTAAGGATTCTGATGGCAAACTGATTCATATTCAGCAACGTCGTCTAGATCGATGGGCAGAACATTTTAAGTCTCAGATCAGTTAGCCCTCGTCAACACAAGACCTCCCTATACCCGGTTCAACTGTGCAAATACTGCCAGTTAACATCAGTGCTCCACCTAAAATGGAGGTTACCCGGGAAATAAATTATCTCAAAGAGTATAAGGCTTCCAGCCCCGACGGGCTTGTCCCATCAGTTTTTGAGGATGGAGGTTCAGCCTTGGTTTTGGAGTTAAAAAACCTCCTAGGGTCAGTGTGGGGAAGGAAACGGTGTGAATCGGTGATGTAACCGATTTACAAGAAAGGCGACAAGTCCCCTTGTGAAAACCACAGAGAAATTAGTTTAATCAATATCGTCTGTAAATTTCTCGCTGAGATCATACTCCGTCGATTGTCTGCTGCACGCGAACAGTGCACACGTGAGGACCAGGCTAATTTCAGACCTAGTCGAGGTTGTATCGACCACACGTCGCTCTTCGTCAGATTCTAGAACACAGACACTTTTCGTAGACCCAGCATTTCTAACTCCCTCGATCTGGAAGCGGCTTTCGACTCAGTTGACCGCTGTAAGTTCTAACGCTGCCTCGCTCTAACGGGTTTGCCCGAGAAGTTTATTTCAATACTATGATCCCCTCATACTAATGGCGGAAGCCGAGTCCGAGCTTACGGCACCTTTTTTACTCAAGTTCACTACAGGAACGTCTGTTCGTCAGGAATTCTCTTTAATTTTGTCATGGATTTATTTACTGTAACAGCTCTATCCTCGTGCGAGGATAGTGGTATCGATTTACTCCCAGGTGGCAAGTGTCGGCGCGCATGCAAAAGGTTCGGTTAACACTTGCCAACGTGAGACATCTGTGGTGCCGCCGCGACATCCGGCTGTCTGCGAAAGGTCGAGTATATCCTGCAGCAGTTCGGCCAGTGCTGCTCTACAGTGCAGAAATTTGATCATCACGGCAAGAGAATAAAAATATATTGTCAGTGTTCGAACACCGTTGTCTACGTCACATTACACGAGTCTGGTGGGGTAACCGGACGAGCAATGCTGAGGTTAGTCGCAGAGTTTTAGATAAATGCGGTCGTCGACTGGAGCAAGTGGTCGACCTCCATAGATTTTGCTGTTTGGTCACCGATGGTTAGAAACACTGACCGATATGACTGGGTGTCGAAAACAGTGTCGCTCATGCATCTCATTATTCGCCTAACACCAGTCTATATTCTTCATCTTCCGCTTAGATTTGCTCTCATCATTCTAATCTTCATTCTGGTCTTTTATCCAAATGGACGACCAAAAGACCGTAATCAAAACCAATGCACGAAAATGCATGGTTAATGATTGCATGAACTAAACTGGAGGCAAAGTGTCGATTGGATCGTCCGATGTTCGCACTGGTGGAAAATAGTCGGCTGTCGGAACATGGAGTCGAAAGCCGTTTTCTGAGCGACTGATGCACCTCACTGGAAGACAGCCAGTCTACCCTATCATCCATACCTCTTGTTACAACCACAATACCATCCCGATTCCCCTTTTGAAAAAAGGCGCGTAGATTTTGGTGTAAAATATCTTTCACTTTATCTGGGCTGCAGTTCGTGGGTGCATACGCTGAAACGACAAACAAATTGCGTCTTTCGGAGCGACGACTGCTTTTTTTGCACGGGCCTCTATGTCTGATTATATTTATTGTATCTTACGCTTGTCTGAGGACAGACTGTGCCAGGCAAATCAGGGTACACTAATCTTTATAAAAGGAAAATAACGTTCCATGATGTCTGATTGCGCATGACTGGCTATCGACTGGGATCCAGTCCAGCAGCACGGCTTCAACCCTTTTCCCCAAGGGCGATAACAACGCCAGCAAGACCAGAATCCTCAGCCTCAGGGTCCCCTAAAGGCGCAAGTCAACTTCGCAGTATGGTTTGATGGGGACTTCATTTGGTTGGTTTAGCTGGAGTCTTTATTACGAGTCTCTTAGACACGCCGCACATCGATGTCTCGAGGGTACAAGCTAAACATTTCTGTTCTCTAGTACGCATAAGAGTACGCACGTCGAATGTGGCTAGTTTGACAGGGTATTGCGGATGAAGAAGAGTGTCAACTGGTGCAGAAAGATTCAATAATATTTGAACGCAAGAAAATTGAGCTGAAATTCCATGAGGCACAACTTTTGGTGCGATCGTCTAAACAACCGATAAACTGAAAATATGCAAGGGGATGAATGCGAGGGAAAATAGAGAAACAGGAATAAATGTACGGTTTGGAATGGTTTTCTCTAATTAAGAATAGCTGTGTGCAGATTCTTTGATGACAGAAAGTTCATAGTTCATTTCTGTTGGCTGTTGTGCCACTAGGTCGCTCAGTTCAAAGTAGGTCCCCCTTGATGGTGCACCAATTGCGAACTACAAGGCGGCAGCGGTTTTTCAGACTAGCCGGTGGCCGGTTAGTTGTTTCATTTGTTTCTTCTGATAAACCTTGTCGAGTAGATGGAACTTGGCTAGAGGCAATGGCTATATTCATCGGCCAGCCATATTCGCTACGTCACAGAGCTGTCAAGAGAGGTGTTTTGTACCAACACACCTTAAGTGGTAAACCCACCAGATACACGAGCACTGTCGTCCACAACTGCTTATTCAGTGGGCCTAAACCCACCTTATTCACAGTAAACTGCGAGGTGGCCACCGTTCCCTTGTTTGCGACCGGAGGAAGCGCTCAAGATCATGGGGTTTACCCTTTTTTTACTGTATTCACTTTCGCGTAATAAAAAAAATACAGCTCTTCTCCTACCAAGGCATTGACTAATCTAATCCTCAGGGATCGGTTCTCAATCCTCTTCTCTTCCTTATTTATATTACCGATCTACCTAGTGCATTACCTGCAAACGTGGCTATGTATGTAGATGATGTCACGCTACAGGCATCCATTGATGCTGTTAAACACTGGTCCGTCGAATGGAATCTGCCCATCAGTAATGACTAGTGTGTAGGCATGACTTTTGGGAACTCCCCTCCTGTATCGTTTCATATAATTGGTACGCAACCTCTTCAGCATACCGACTTGCACAAGGTCCTAGGCTACTGGTTGAAATAGTAACCTTTCTTTTTCACACCATAACCAGTCAGCCAGCAAATCTGCCTTCCGCGTTCTACACCTATTTCGAAGGCCTTTCCCCCATATCACCAAGAAGGACTTTCCAGTTGTTCATTAGATGTGTAATGCCTTAGTTTGAAGTGTTCTGCTTTAAGGTTACAATATCTGATCCCTCCATCTCGATGATGTTCAATCATCGAAGTGATCAAGTTATTGCTCGCTAATGGTGACAACATCCTGTAGACAATGACCCAGTCCTATTTCGCCTGTTCGCCGAGCTTGGCAATTTGTTTGCAGGCGTTTCATCACCAACCGAGGTGACATCATCAGTGCTTGTGAAGTGGCCACTTCACAGAATTCAGTTCACCCGGGCTACGAGAACCGATTTTCAATACTTTGTCAATGACCCAGTCCCTCTAACTATCTTTGGTTAGCCACTTTTTACTTTA